AGCTTTGTAAATCTGTAGCATTACTGAAATTCTTCAAAATATCACTCTTTTAAATATGTTCGGACCGTAAAATTTTATCGGTCCGGTCCAAAAAAACCGAAAGGTCGGTGGACCGGTTTTTTTGACCGGAACAAAAATCCATACTAGTATTTGTTGTTACTGAATAACTGATGATCACTACATACAAAGAAGCCTGCCAGGAAAATGAAAATCCAGCCTTCAAATAAGAGAAGTTTACCTTAGTCTCCGTCTCTCTCATTTTGCAACAATATTTTCCCGTATTTTGGTACCGATAGTCATCTAGAAATCATAAAGGACAAGTCTACGGGCCGTGCTTGGTTCGGATCGAGCCGAAAATCACTGATTTTACACAATATGGTCACAATGTGATGCACGTAAATTTTCACTCGAAATGAGAAATTACCGCCCAACAAAACGGACCATTAGGTTCCCAGTGCTGTATTTCTCTTTTGTTCATGTGATCAACTTGTTTTCTTTGCTTGGAGCGTGCAAAATACCAAGGAAAAACATCGAAATTTCGGCAAATTAACGCCGAGGCGAGTGTGGTTTTCGGAGGAGCCATGTTTCCTTTGCCGTGTTGCCTGCTGGGAAATGCTCAGCGAAAACTGCCGAAAATTGCCGAGGCAGTTGTCGGGTCCTCCCGGGAGACGAAATCTAACATCGGAAAATGGCGAGTGCCCATATTTGGATATCGTCGCCTTTCGTCGCCTTGTCGAAATCGTTAAAACTTTGACCCCAAATCCCCTTATATGGGAACATTACAATCTGCTGGAAAACGCCGGCAGGTTCGTGCGGCGCAGGTTTTCGATCTATTCACAGCGCCACTGCTTTGCTAATTGAAAACTATTGAATCCGGAGCCTATTTTTTCCTTCTGCAAAATTGCAGATTGTAAGATTTTTTCTTCTGCAATCTTGAAAATCTATCTGCAAATTGCAGACTGCAGACGGGTATTTCGAACACTGTAATGTATATGTTTATGTTCATGTTCTGTACCCATGCGACCTGTACTTAGTTCTGTAGAACACAAATGTACAATAAAGGTCTTCATTCATTATAAAAGTGTAGAAGAAATAATGGTTTTTGAACAGAATTTAGTCTGATCCAAATTCCCTAAATTGTGGTGCTGCAGGTAAAATTTCTCTGGTACAGGTAATTAAACCAGTGCAGGTATGCAGAAATACATGTAAGTATTTCAAGCCCTGAAATGCAGTT